CACAGAGAACTCACTAGGAGCACAAAAAATTATTTTTCTGTACCATATTATGTGGTCAACAGTCATGTGCCACCAAAGCTATGTTGAATACTAGGAAAAGGAGTCACCCTATAGGTAGCTTGCATGTGATTTACAGCTTTTCTCTCTGCCACCTGATAGTCAGGTTTTGAATCATGGTAATGTTTCAAATATGGTCACAAAAAAATGTTCTTACCCTCAGCTAACCACATGTGGAGAGCTGAAATTCACATACAAGTAATACTAAATAAGTAATACTAATCAGTGTATACGTTGGAAGAGAATTTCTACAAAATGTGTTTGGTCTCTCTTTGAAGCCAAGACACTTAAAAATAGGTGAATAGGAATGCAGAGTTCTGAATGTGCTAAAGAAATGCCTTCCTATCAGTCTTTCTCAGTCTGTTGCTGGTTGGTAACAGTTCTCAGAACTGTTTCCAGTGGTCATAAAAGCCTTCATTGGAAAGATATAAGTTATATCTGTCAAATTCCTTGTGTCTCTAACAAGAAAATTAAGTTATCTTCTCTAGTGAGAGGAAAGTTGCCATCTGGGACAAAATTAACAAATGATAAAAATAGATACCACAATTATTTGATCAACTATTGAATTAAAAATGTAATTTGTACATTATTTACATTCTCTTCCACATACAGCCCAAGTAAACAAAATGAGCATTTTTCATTATTACTAAGTCATAAATTATTGTAGGCAAATAGTTTGGTCATTTCTCAGGATAGATTAATCTATTCTCCTTTATTTATTCAAGTCATTTTTGCTTATACATTACTAACTACTATGACTTGATAATTTTTTCCCCACAAAAGCAGCAGAAGCCTTTAGTTCTGCAAATAGCATATGTAGGCACCAAACAAATAAAATAGATACTGTTATCATTATAGCTATGCTGACCTCTTAAAATCACATTACAATTTTTTTTTAGTTCATATCTATCATTACCTTCATACTGTCATCATCTGTCTTTCAGCTTTTCTATATTCTCTGTGAAGACTGCCATCTCATGCATTACTTAAGTTGGTTGTTCATATGTGTCACTGTATATAGGAGTAGGTTTATGGCTCCTCATCTCCTCATCATTGCCTAGAGAAGCTATCACTGACTCAGCTATTGCCACTTCTCCAGTCACTTTTACTGCCAATCTCAACTCTCTCAGTTTCAGCATCAGCATTATAAAATGCAGCTCTAACCCAGCTCTAAAACTTTCACTGTTCTCTAGTTGTTTTTATAGTAAATGATTCACAATATTTTCTAAAATTTCTCAAAAATAGGGCTAATATTAGGTTTTTCACTCTTTGCAAATTTCTTCATGCATTGTTTTACCTAATATAATAAGACCCTTTGAAGCTTTTTAAGATTTTGCCTTGAAATCTTATCATTTCTTTCTTTCTTTCACTTCTCCATGGCTATTTACTTTGACCTCTCCAATTACATCAATCTTATATAGCAGTGTATTATACTATATTATATGATTAGGTTTTGATTGGGTTTTGGTTTTTGCTATTTCAGTGGAATTTTGAAGACAAAGATTTCTGTTATCTTTGGCTTTTATTCTTTCAAAGGACTTAAAGTTTTTAATTAATTTCTTCAATTGATTTGAACTCAGGGATAGTCTACAGATTTTTCTCCATGTGTGAGTCTTGCAATTTCATTCTTTGGGGGATAATTCTTCTTCTAAGAATCTAGTGTGGTTTGTGGTTTAGAGTCATGCTTTAAACTGCCCTTAAGAAGAATGAAAAACAGCTGGTGTCCAAGGAGTTCTGGAAATTAGTCAATAAACTAATTGTAGCACAGAAGCCAAACAAAAAGAAGTTGACTTGCATATTTTAAGCTCTCTCTCTCTCTCTCTCTACATATATTATTATTATTTTTAAAAGATATTGTGCTTAAAAAATTAAATGCTTCTAGTGATGTTTTTTACTAAAATTTTGGAAGTTACAAAGAAATATTATACAACTATAAGATTGTCAACACTTTCATGTTCAAATTGCTTCCCCTTTATTTAGTCAAGTGTACACTAGTGTAACTAAGTACTCAGAGAAGATGACATCACTTAATCTTAAGGGACTTTTAGAATTTATGAGAAACTTATTATTTTTATTTTAGTATTGTAAATAGTGAGAAAACTATTAATATAAATGATATTGAAATTGACACTATTTATAAACAGCACAATTCACAGGGATTTCAACTAAATAATCAAATAATGGTGGAGCACTGTCCACATGAATTGTCCATGAAAACAGATGCACAAAGGAGAATAAACATACATAGCACCCTGATAGTTTAAAATTGAGAAGTTTATAAGAAATATACAAGTAAATTTGGTTTTGATGAGATTAATACAATGGGCATGAAATATAGAGTGGATTAAAAGAAGGCAAACATGGCTATGCGTAAGAATCAATTAAGGTCATAAACTACAATAGAACCCTGAAAGGGTAGGTTTATTGTCACAGGTTATGTTAAGGAGGAGTCATTAGAATGGGAGAAAATGGCATGAGGAATGGCTCAGAGGAAGAAGTTGTGGATTAAAGGGATTGTAAATCAGGCTGGTGCCATTAGAACAGCCCTACTCTGAAGACCATCTTCTGAGCTGTTTCTGTGGGTGGTGACATCCCTCACTGATGTGGGTAATTTGAACACATGACAGGTGGACATGTCCCTTGTCTTTGAGCTGCATAGTAGATGTCGGAACTGAGGCTGCTTTCAGATGTCTCACAATTCAAATCAATGGTGGACAAGTTGAAGTGATAGTCTTCAACTGAGATTTATATTTCTCACCGGACCCTGAGAATTCCTCCCCTGGTGTTCAAGCTACCTATTATACTTACTTTCCTCAAAGTTTCTCTGAGTTTTCATGAGGGATCCAGACACGTTATTTCAAGTAGCTAATTCCAAGATCTTTCCAGCTTATGACATTTTTTTTTTTTTTTTTTTTTTTTACTTAACCAGTCAGTTTTCTCCTGCCTTAGAGCCTTGGCCCTCACTTTCCTTCCCTTTGCGTGGGATGGTTTTTCTTTATCTATCAGTGTGGCTCAATTCCTCACCTCCTTCCAGAACACTCTCAGTGAGCTCTTTCCAGATCACCCTATTAAATTTCACAATCTCGCCACAATGAGATTCATTTCTCTTTATGACCTTATCAACCTCTAATGTATGATATGATTTATTTATTTATCTCATTTACTGTCTAGTTCTCCATTCAGAAGACCAAAGATTACCTATTCATGAATATATCACCAGTGCTTAGAAGAATGCCTAACAAGTAGTAATTATTGCATGAGTAGATACATGTGTGAATGAACTGTACATATTATACCCATAATAATAATTTGAGATAATAACTACTTTTCTCATTACCTTTACTGAGTTAAGGTAAATTTATAAAATTCCCACTATAGTATCATTGTATCAGGTTATAAAAAATAAACCATATATAATAATTCAGGTTCTTTATAATGATGTGATTGTGGCTAGGAAGTATTTCCTAAACCTAAAGTGTAGATATTATACCATTCTGTTTCACACAGAATTTGATGAATAATTTTCTCACGATCACTTTCTAGAAAGTTTATAACTGTTTCTTATCTTTTATCTTGAATAGGTCATCACTGGCAGCCTTACATAAGAAGTTTACAGAAACCAACACAAGTTAGCATTTGTTAACATCTATCTTGCTGTCAGCTATGGCTTAATTGTTCTAACCCTCAATCATTCATTACTTCTTGTAATCATAAGTGGCAAATTCTCTTTGAGTTTCATATTACAGATGATGAATATGAAATGCAATGAGGTAATGAATACATAAATGTTTGATTCCAGCACTGGGGTTTAAACCCATTCATTTAGATTCCAGAACCTAAATTCTTAACCATAAGACTATATTGCCCCTCAATACAGTCATACATCAGGACTAATCACATCTTCTTTTCCTTTTTCTTTAAATAACTTTGGCAAAAGACATTTTCATAGTGCCTAAATTGTACTTTTATGAACTATGACTAACTTACATCTGCCAAATCTTTATTTTTCCTGTGACTCTGACATCTGCAATTAGTCAGACTTTAAAAACATTTTTAAATAAGCTCAATTAATTTAGATTCTTTTCAAAATTCAAAACTTTAGGTCAGCACTTATAAAAACTGTTAGGGGTACCACCAGCTCCACCCCAACTTACAGATACCACACTTGTCTTCTTTGTCTCAAACCAGCTCCAAGTTTTGCTCTTACAAAATTTTGCATAAATTCAAAACCAGAAATAAAGAAACATCTTTAAAAAGACATCTATATTATCAATACCAGCTTTAGTGTTTTTTTTTCTTCTTCTTTTTTTAACTGCTATGTAACATGATTTAAACTTAGAGAGCCTATTTTTAAGAGAGATCAAGGAATGTATTCATGGCAAGTTGGAACACTGTGCAAATGTGCTGGCTTCACTGTTATCTGAACGACAAAACATTAAATCATGAGGAAAAAGTCAGCATGTTCTCTGAAAATACAAATAGATCAGCGTCAGGAAGAGCTTTGTCCAAGAAAGGGAAAAGACACCTCTGGAAAAGACATCCAGAGAATAAATCATGCACATGAAACATATAATCTTCAAACGTTATTTGCAAGAAATGTTTTAGCAGATAAATATAACTGATAGATAAACAAAGCACAAAAATGTGTCATGTGAATTTTTTAAGTGAACCTTTCAAATATGATCACTTAGCATACCCCACTCTTTATCTATGTTTCTTATAAAATATGTGATACTTCAATAGTTGTATAACTCACAAAAGAAAATAAGACTCCCCCACCTCTTTTAATTCTAGGATAGAACAGCTCTTAAACAGGCACGTTGGAGTTAAAATGTCTAAAAAGATCCATCTCTCTCAAGATATAACGACTTGCTGGTTTCTTCCAGTGTACAGTGTAAAGAAAGCTTTCTCACTCACAAGTCAAAGTAAACAAATTTTCTTACCATGTATTCCATGTTTGCTGCTGGTGGGAACACTTTGCCCCGAACTTGATTGTGATAATTGAGGATAGCGATCATGTCATTCTGCGAAATGTAGCGCTTCCGCCTGGCTTTGGGGAGATCCGCAGAATCTAGTTGTGCTTTTAGAGCCGCTTCAATCTCAGTGAAATTATTGGTTGGCGGGGATGAGTCAGTAGAATTGAGTAAGGCAATGGCACTTGCTTCATAGAGAAGAGAGAGCAATAGTGCACTGCTGAGGGCACAGATGGCTATCATTTTGAGGGCTGGAGAACAGGCCACCAAATGTACTTGGCTTTAAAGCAGAAAGTAGAGTTAGGGTCTAGGAGGGAGAAAAAAAGAGGACGGGGCTATCAGTTTTCAAAGACATTATTTGGAAACACTGCTTGATTTGATGTTGTCCCCAAAAGTCCAAGCAAATTTTGAACTCAAGTCTACAAGACCACCCAGAGTAGTCTCTATACATTTTACTGGGTGTGTTAAAGCAGATGCCCAAGAAAGAAAAATAAGCAGCATGACTACTGACCCTAAAATGAATGTGAATTATTTGCCCCACATTCTGAATCACAGAATGCATTACTGCATATTTATGTTCAAAGGAAAGCATTTAAAATTGCAGTTCAGTGAAGAGGAAAAATGCATCACAGGTAACAATAGAGAATATGCTGATAATGTCTCCCAGACATATATGGACACCAAATGATAGAACACATACAAAAAAGTTATAATAATCCAACCTCACTTCTAAAACATTATTAAAATGTGAGCTGCTTTAAAATCATTGCATGCAAAATAAACTTGTTGAGCTAAGTAGCTTACCTCTGCACAATGCCAAAATGAATATACTGTTCTTCCAAAAATTTAAAGTTCTTTGCTAGGTTGTAGCATGAACTTTTGTAAGAGGAGTGTGTCTCATTACAAACTCTCAGAGAGCAAAACTCTGCAAGGTTTGAATGCTGCTGGCTACAGGAGCAGCTAACAGCTTTTATATGTCACAGTTAGTAACGTCCAGAAAAGGCAGTCTTTCTTAGGGTCTTTCCTAGCCAAAATCAAAGGGGAGGGGTTTGGGATAGAAAAAAAAAACAGTGATTGGGTGGCAACCTTTTTAATGTGGGTGGTGAGGAAATTGAGTCACACCCACAGCTTACAAAGTACAAACCATAAAAGACTAACCCCCTTGTTTCTGGGCTTCTGCCTTCTCTACAAGTGGTTAATTTTTCTCCTTAATTTCCTGGTTCTCATACAAACAGAAAACAACAAAAAAAAAGTCGAATTCTTGAAAACACAGAGTAACAAGCAGTACATTTTTTTTAAGATAGTAAATGACAAGCTGATATTAAATCAAGAGCAAGCTGATATTAAATCAAGAAATCAGCTCACAGATTTACTCTGGGTGGCCACAAATATGATTCAAGAGTGATGCCAGGCAAATCAGTAGTAGCCAAACTATAGCATATGATATTAGGATAATAGATGCTCAAGTAGTTGTACTTACTTTCTCAATGTGGCTTTTCCCTCTATTTTATGTATTTATTCACTCTTTCTCTTGTTCTGCCTTTACCTCCCTTTCAGTACAGAGTGAAGCAGCAAATTACCTGCCTTTCATCTGCCTTACATAAAATGCAAATAGAGAAGCTCATGACAAATGATAGTAGCCAAGATAACATCTGTTTCAGGTTTAAGAGCATATAGTTGTAATTTTAAGCAGAGAATGGCTTGGTCTCTCAGGAAGTGTATTGGAGGGCACAGCACAGAGGCCATGAAGAATTTTAACAGCTGCCAACAGTAAGTTCTTTATTAGAAAGATGCCACTGAAGCAAAATCTATGTCTGGTAAGACAAAACCCAAAAGTGAGAATATCGGGGAAATGTGTAAGGAAATGACCCTCAGAACTGCCATGTGTCATGACAACATCAGAAAACATGAACCGTCACAGCCAGTGGCATTGGGATCCTGCAGAATACAAGTGTTCAGTTTAGAAACTTACTCTACATACATCAACTTGTCCAGTTTGCCAAGGTGATGCCTCTTGCGTGCTTCAGCAGGCAAAGTATTATGTGAATTTATATTCATCAGAAATGATGGTCATGTGGTTAGGAAGAAGCACAGTGGACTACAAGCCAAGTTTCCTGGGCTCAATTCCCAGTTGGGTCTCCAGCAATATGTGTGGCCTCATGAGTGTCGTTTAACTCTTCATGGGTGCATATGAAAATGGGAGGGAAAAAATGCATATTCCATGACAAGATTGACAACATCAAATTCCATCTGAGAGCAGTAAGGTGTTTGAAATAGAAATACCTCTGAGTTCAGTGTACACCAAGAGATGCCATCTTAGATGTCGATAATGTGCCCAAATTCAGATTTTCTTGTATTTAATGCGTATTCAGCTCCTACTGAAAGTGGTCATTTTCAGAATGCTGAACTTGAAAAACTGGAAGCTGTAAACCTGAATTAATTAACACTGTAAAATTGAAAAGGCAAGAACATAGGAGAACAGAACATAAGCAGGAATGGTACAAAACAGAACAGCTTGAGGAAAGGCACGTGGTTGCTCACAGCTGCAGTTATTTAACTGGAGCTGTCCAGCGAGGGTCTCACCCCTTCAGAAAGTACTCTGGTGCCTTAAATGAATTTCAAGGATGTTATGTCAAGGATTCCTGAATTGAATAGGAGGTTAGGCAGCATACTTTCTGAACTGTGCACTAACAGATTTCTAGGGCCATTTGAGAAATTATTGCCAGCACTGATTAGCCTGTATTTTTCAACATATCTCATACAGCTGTCCAGCATCTAGGGGACTGAAGGATTTTTAATGTCTAAACCATTCTTTGTCCAAGGTGTCTGAGTTCTAGCTTAGAACCTCATAAAAACTGAACTGTGCTTTTCAAGGTTAATTTCTTTGTTGTGTATATATTGAGATAATGTTCATCTCTTGATGTTTGACTTCGGGGGTTTCCTCGGGGATTAAAAAATGCATTCCTTGAGAAACTTGCCTGACCCATAAATGAGTTTCATCTAAGAAAATGAAGAAGGGATTTCTGAGATGGACCTAAATAGGAGATTGCCTCTTTAAGTTCAATTATATGGGGTCAGAGCCAATAGTTGCTTAGTCCTGACCCTGAGGCATGTCAGTGATTTTAGATGTCTTTCAACACACATGTATTGTATTGTGGAATGTTAGGCTATTAAGGAAACCCACAAGGCTATGGAATCATAAAAGCTAAGACCTGTGGGAGGAGAGTTAAGAATTCTGCTTCCAAGCATACGTTATTGCCAGAAGTATTTGAAATGCGTTGGAAGTAATTTTAATTTTATAAAAAACTTGCTGAATTTAGAGGCACACATCCAAGTTGTCAGTAAGAGAACTATTAATGAACAACTAACAATGAGTGGTTCTTTATGAGATCTCTCCTTGAAAAAGACAACTGACATGTTTAAAAACCTTTAGGGCAATTCTTGCCAACAAAGAAATGGAATGCAGTGATATTATTGAAAAGAGTAAGTATGTAATTGGTAGTAATCACTGACTACCTTGAATCCTGTGAGAAAATGGTCGTGATTTTAGAATTGAAAGAAAGCATGATAAATGCCCCAGAATGGTACACCTGTTTAAACATAAGTACTTTATGTGTGGTTTGTGTGTGCACAGATATGCATATGGTTTTAATCTAAATCATTTCTAATCAGAATATGTTCAGTGTACTAGTCGTATTGAATAGCACTGGGAGCTTGTTAGAAACGCTGAATTTGTGGCTCCATCCTAGATCCGTTTAAACAGAATCTGCATTTCAAGATCCTCAGATGGTTTGTATGCTTAGTAAAATATCTAAACCAGTTTCTTCCAGAGAAAGAGATAAACCCTCTATGTAAATGTGTGTATGTATATTATTTGTATTTGATAAGTTTTTAAAAATATCCATTTGTTTACTAACATGGAAAAGAATCAGGCAATATTAGATACTAGTGTCTTTGAATAGGGAGACCCAAGTACCCTCTACTTTAAAAGAAAGAAAGGTGAAAGTAGGGAAAGGTAATATAGGTAAAAGCACTCCATATGAAGAGTAATATTATTCATATTTATTTTTCGTAAGATAATTAAAACAATGGAATGCTGAACACTTGAAATTGTTATGTAAATTGTGGCAGGCCACATAAATAGAAACTAATTTTACTCTTATCATCCCCAAAACAAAAGCCCAAATCATCCTTTATTCCTTATTCTTTCTTAACATATTGCATACATCCAGTAGCTCCTTAAAACATTTTTAATCTTGAAAATGTCTTGAAATCTAACCTATTTTATTTTAAATATTTGGTTTTTTTACTGTCTTAAAATTAATCCCGTGGTCTTTCTCTAGGATCACTAAAGTGTCTCTTTTGTCATTCATCATCCATGTTGTCTTTGCTTATCTTCCAAGAAAGGAGAGAGATCATTTCCACATATATATCATCGTTACTTGTCTGTCCTTCGCTTATAGATCAAGTTCAGTTATGTTAACCTGCCTTACATAAGTCTTGTGAATATAAATCATTGTAACTTTTAAGCTTTATTCACTGAAACCATTACTTTCAATATATCTAGTCTGGCCACTTCTTATGCCCCCAACATACTTTAAAAACATTCTTTTCCTACTGTTTGGAGGTTTCTCAAACTACTAAAAATGGAGTTGCCACATGACTCAACAATCCCACTCCTAGGTATCTACCCAAAAGACACAGATACACTGATTCAAAAAGACACCTGCACCCCCATGTTTATTGCTGCTTTATTTATAATAGGAAAGACAGAATCAACCCAAATGCTTGAAGTAGATGACTGGATTAAAAAGATGTGGTTATAAATGGATGTACTATTAAAAGTTGAATACTTCTATAGAATTAAAATAAAATTAAGTCCCCTTATCCCCATCTGCATTTCTGATCCTGAGAAACAACCACATTTATTACTAGTCTCTTTTCGGCAGCTAATGCCATATTTCCAGGCCATATGCATATTTATTGATATTCTAAAAACTATCCATCTTTTCAGATGGTTTGGTTCCTTACCTTGTGTCATTTCTCTCACATAGCACAGGTCTGAGGTGCTCGTTAATCAACAGGATATTGTGGAAATGCGGGTGTCTGACTTTCACAGGCAGTCATAAGGCATCCTAGATCCTCTACCCGGCTCACGTTGGATCACTCTGGCGACGCCAGCTTCAGTTCTGTGGATGCCCGAATATCTCTGTGGGGAAGTCCATGAGGTGAGCTCCCGCGTAAACTGCACCAACTTGCCAG